TTTGCAGACGTGGGGATGTATTGATCAGGATCTAATCAGTAAACAACCTGATAACTTGGATAGGGAATATTTAATATAAGAAAAAGTGAACTGTCCTGGGGGATTGGAATAGGAGAAATCGGTAGAGCAGATTAAGGACAGCGCTGAAGAACGAAGGAAGAGCGGCTGTGTGGAGCAGTGCTGCCCCGGGTAGACACTGGGCCAACCTCCAGAGCTGGGACCTGGGGGAGGGACAGCGGTACAGGGGACAGCAGGACCAGGTGGAGCCAGGCCCCGCGCAGGCCCTGCTGAGCTCAGCAAGCCTGCTGCTTCTCCTGTGGGATTTCCCTGCACCCTCTATCAGGGAAACCTAACTTTGTATCCACCAGAAGAGGAAATGCAAGGAAAGGAACTGGACATGTTTTTGAGGGGAAAGCTATGAAAGGTAGTCAGAGCTGAGAGGTGTAACACTTGGTCACTGGTGCAGGGACGTGGATGCTTGCTGCTAGGTTTTTAAAGAAAACCAAAGAAGTTAATGCCTGTGAATTCTTGCATGGTTTTTGTCATGGAATTAGTTCTTTGAATCAGCCATACAGAGACAGAAGTTTTACACTGGTTGTGAGGGATAAATTCAATAGTGTTGCAGTATTGTCCCTTAGATTTAGTGGCTGGTGCCTGGTCCACCTTGAGGAAATGTAGATCAGGGATCCCAAGTCCCTGCATGTTCTGTTAGGAACAGAGCCACACAGTTGGGAAGGAGGGTGGTGGCAAGCAAACCAGCAAAGCTGTATTTGCATTTACAGCCGCTCCCCTCACTGGCATCCCCACCTGACCTGAGATCAGCAAAGCATTGGATTCTCATAGGAGTGCAAACCCTCCTGTGACCTGCATATGCAGGGATCTAGGTTGATCCTTATGAGACTAATGCCTGACTATCTGAGGTGGGGCTGCGGTGGTGATGCTAGAGCCACGGAGCAGCTTTGAATACAGATTAAGACAGCAGAGAGGTCCAGCTGCACAGAAACCATCAAAAATCAACTGCTTGTGGACTCATGGTCAAAACCCTATCAGTGTGAGGCAAGTGACAATTAAGCTACACCTGGTGGCAAACTCTTAAGTTGGAATTCAACACCTGTTTTGGTCCACAGGTGGGCACCTAATCTTTTATCACTTCTATCACTGCCTAAGTCCACAGTACATACAATGCATTTGAATCACCCCAAGACCATCCCCCATGGAAAATTGTCCTCCATAAAACTAGTTCCTGGTGCCAAAAAGATTGAAGACCACTGTAGTAGGTCTCAAGTTGCTTTATGACTCCCTTAGAAGTGTGCTCACATAGTGAGCACTGATTAATAACTCAAGCTGCGTACACAATTCTAGGTAATGGCTCTCACTACAGACTCTAGAAACTGCAGGGGAAACTTTTGAAGGCCCCTGAAACCAATTTAGCTGGTGTAGAGTTACCTTTTACAAAACCAAGTAGAACAGAATGAAAAATATTCACATATCTTAAGAGACATGTTTGGTTTGTAATATGACCTGGGTCAAGATGGCATGACATGTTGTCACAATCAAAAACACACTGCTAAGATCTTTTAAGTGGTAGACTCCAACCCTTGTCACTTTGTCTTCACTCTAGGTCTGAATTTTGTTAGGACCTAAAATGCTCCTGAGGAATATTGCCTTTGGTGTTTTCATGTTGTTCTTGATCATTTGAATCATTTCTGTTGCTGCAAAGAAAGTAGAAAGATACCTTCCCTCCACTGTATAACTGACAATATTTTCATAAATCAAGAGCGACCTTTACAGACAACTAGCCTTGCTGTCTAATTATTATTACCAGGATAAAAAAAGTGTGGAAGCCATAATTTGTAGAGACTTCAATAATACTTAACAGACTTACAGTTTTTAACCATAATAAAAAGTGAACAATATTCCAATGATGTGGTTGCATTTGCAGTTGCTTTGTTTTGGGATTTACCAGGATTCAGCTTGCTGTTTTGTGGGTCTTTATGAAGATTGTTTAGGTGAAGATTGTTTACATTATACTTCCTTAAAAAAATTTCCAGGCACAGTTACACCTGGATTCTACACAGAATTTGGGGGAATTCATTTGTCCATTCTTTTCAGAAGCATTTGTTAGGTGCCTGCCATGTTCTAGCCCTAGGAAATTCCAAGGTGACTAAGATGCAGTTAGACTCAATGTTGCTATACAACACAATTCATACCCTTTCTGGGGGCTTTGAGAAACCTGTTCTAGGGTGTTTAATTCTGGAACTTGTACACTTTGAAACTACATAAAGCTACTTTGAAAACCAGAAGCTTAATTGCCTTTTTAATTGGTTATCTAAATTCTGAGTAGTTCCCTTTAATCTCATCGTATTTTAGCTTAGAAACCATATTTGTTAATTTGGGAGTCTCAGCGATAAAGATCATTGTGCAGGGTTATGGTTACATCCTAGGGCAGGAGGGAATTCATAGTTGATCACATTTTCAGGGGCTCTGTAATCATGCATGAGTCCAGAAAGAGCCATATTGTACATTTTATGCTTCCTTTCAAGTGATAAAACAGATGTGTGTAATGGGATAGTCTGTCCTCATCAGCCCCGGGCTTGCTTTTGGCCTCTCACACCCTTGCCATGACTTGCTTCAACCTTCAGTGCCAACAGTCACTTTGGAAACCAGATCCATGGCCACCTTACATTATTCTAGGCACACACATCCCTATTTCTTGCTGTTTAAGGTTGCGCTGTAGGACTTTCAACACAGAGCTATCTGTGTTTCCACCGGGTCCCCTTTTCTGTCAAAATTGATGATTATTTCATTCTTTTTGACTGTTATTAGGGCTACTGCTGTTCAGGCTCATTCCTTCAGTACCAAAGCTATTCTCTACATTAAAATTAGTGTTTGCAACTAGGGAAAATACTTCTCATTAATGTTTGCATAGTCTTCTGGCATTTCCTGTCCCACATTAGAAGATTGTTAGCATTATCCAATGAATCCGCTTTGCTTCTGAACTTATTAAGAGGAACAGGGAAATATGAATGAGTGATTGCTGTCCAGGTGAAATGTTGAGTTTAATGCTGTACCTTTTATAGGCAGTTTTCTGTTCCCAGAGGAAGGTGTAGTTGAGACCAGACTGTTCCAAGTGTTACAAGAGACATAGTTTTGATTTTACTCTCCTTCTGGGGCTAACAACTAAGACAAGGGTGGAAACCTGGCTGAGACTGTTTAGAACAGTCCATGCTCCTTGACTCTGTGCTGGTTAATATTTATCAGCACTTTGGAGGCACGTGCAGATTGACTAGACCCCTTCTGAAATGCTTGGGAACAAAAATGCTTTGGGCCTCTGATTTGTTTGGATTTTGGAACATCTGTGCTTAAAGAGAGGGTGGAGGGCAGGACCAGGAGTATCCGGGCTCCAGCTCGGGGTGCTGTCCTCTTGGACCAGTGCTCAGAACATCTGTCAGGGAGGATGGTGACAGGTCTGCCCACCTGGTAGGCGGAAGTGAGAGCAGCAAAGAATGTTTGCCCAGTCTAGTGAAGACTTTGGACATGGCCGCCCTTTCCAGATCAGCTTTCCTGTGCAAGAGTCGAGAGATTTACCATTTCTTCTCAGGATGGAAATCGGATGAAAGGCTATACATCTGAAGATAGAGCTTGGGCCTTTTGGAGAGGGATTTTCTACACGCAAGGTGCTCTTCTCAAAATTCTCAGGGCCTTGCATCTTCAGAAACTGTCTGGAAGGGAGCAGAGTTGACAAAATCTGGGTGAAGTTGGATCAAGTGACCCCACTCCTATTTTTCCTCAGGAGGGTGTTCAGGGCTCTTTTACTTACCTTTGTTTTGTGGTGCTGGGTGTGGAACCTGGGGCTTTATACATGCTAGGCAGGAACCCTACCACTGAGGCATATGCTCAGCCCATGTTCAGTTATCTGCCACCAGAGACAGTGTAAGAGTATTCTTAAATTCGTGCTTTCTTGCACCAAATCCTTAATTGTCTGGCAATTATTAATATTTTGAATTGACATGGTGAATATTTAATATGTATCATATATTATTAAAACTAATATGCAGTAGGTTATATAGTGTCTGTTATGCATTGTATAATGCATAGTAGAATTTTCATAATCATTAATGTGATCAATGTAACTCACTTTCTCCATGTAAAACACTTTGGGGAAGTTCTGATACTATAATAATTCTAAGACATTTTAAAGGATCTGGGGGTGGAACCTAAAATCGTCTGTGGATGTTCTGAGTGCTGTTGGTCTGAAACAGCTGTGTTAATATGCATATGCTTTATTCTGTTATTTTAAAAAGCTTTCATTCCTAGTACCAAAATTAAGCAGCTATTTATCCCATGTTTGGTCTTGAAATTAATTTTGTCTTTAAAATGTGTATGGACTCTAAAGTGAATTTATACTTTCTTAATTTCTTTTTGGTAGTGGGGATCAAAATCACAACCTTGCACTTGTGAGGCAGGCGGTAAATCCCTGGCCCAGTACTTTCTTAATTTTGAGACTCTAAATTTCCCAGTTATTAAAGTGAAGCCTGTTTTTATGTTAGATTTAGACTAGCCTTTTGAATAATATTTTGTATGCTACGTCCATAGTTCCCACTGTTTCTTGTCCTTGACTACTGTGCTCATATTGTGGTGAAAGTGTTGCTTTTTAAATTATTTTTGGATGAATCATAACTTTTCCTATTGGAAATATATGGAATAACATAAGGGTCTATTGAAGTCTTGACTGCAAGGTGAATTTTCCATCTAGAAAATGTTTTCTACCAACATTAATTTCCTTTTGGGAAACGACATCGTGCAGCAGTGTGGGCATGGCTGGTACTCGTGGACACTTGGCACGGGCATGCGTGGTAAGGGTCAGCTCCATAGCTCCTGAGCACCAAGGTCAGAGCCCTGGTCATCTGGCATGGATCGGTGTTCGCATCCTGCAGTTAGCACAGCTGCGCCCGAGGTCCGCTGTCATTCACGTCGCCTTTCTTTGTTGCACTGTGTAGGTGGCTGCCTCTTTGATGAGCCCTACAGCACATGTGGATATAGCCAAGCTGAGGACGATGACTTCAACTGGGAGCAGGTGAACACCTTGGGCAAGCTGACCCCTGACCCGTGGATGCCTTCAGGTCTGCTTTCAGCTTTCAGTTCTCTTTTCCAAATGAAGCGCACAAGTATCTCAGTGAAAGGAAGTGTTCGCTGGAGGTTGGGAGTGGGGGAAGGTGCTGATCCTGGAGCGTGACACCCAGCTGCTGGTTAGCTGGCGAGGAGGGACTGTTGGGAGGAATGGCTGCCGGAGTTGAGCTTTGCATCCCCCCTTTAAAGTTGAATCACAGTTGCTGGGGATTTAGCTCAGGGGTTCTGCCTGCCTCACAAGCGCAAGGACCCAAGTTCAATCCCTGGTACCACATACATACATACATACATAGTTTAATCACAGTTTACTTCCTTTATCTTTGGGTACACCTTAGCGGGAATATAGGCATTGCCCTATCACCCCTTTCCAGCTGATACGGGAAGTGGATGGATGTGTTTTCTGGCCAGTGTTTCACACATCTGGAACTACAGTGTGAAAATCCAGATAATGGTCTCCAGCTGTCACAGATTGGAGACTGTGGAGGGAGGGGCGTACTTTGTTCCTGAGAAGTCTGGGGTCTTAGAAGCTTTCCAAAGAAACAATGGTGATGCGTAGATGGGGCTTAGAGTTTCCGCTGAGTAAAAGATGTGTATTTTGCAAATACCAGCAAGAACTCAAGTTCTCTTGGTAGGAAGAGCAGGAGGATGGAGACTAGAGACCTCTTGCCCTGCCCTGGGCCACTTTGCAGGCTGTGACTGGGGCATCCCTTCACAATTTCACATTTGCAGGTGGATGTGCAGCCCAAATGGGTAAAACGTTTATTCTGATTGGGTTTCAGGTGCAATGAACGCAGTGTGCTTTTTAATGAATGTAAATCTTTTCATAAATGCACCTATAGTAACTGCAGTAATTACATTTAGTAATAATTAAGCTTGTAAAAGTAGCTTTGGAAATCGAGGGAGGGAGGGTGTGGTGCTCTTCTTATGAAGCTTTATCACAACGTCCACCACATTCCTAGCTCACTTTCTCCTTATAGTTTGAAAGAAAGGAGCACCAAGCCTTTCACACTGTGGCTTCCCATCTGCTGGGTGGGTGCTAGACTTAGTCCTGGTAGATGGCGTTACCCAGCACTCGTTGCTGCTTCATGGTCTTCTTGTAGGGTGAGAATTTGTGATTCTTTTTTTCCTCCTTGTGGTGCTGAGGATTGGAGTCAGGGCCTGGTGCATACTAGACAAGTGCTCTGCCATGAGCTAAGTCCCCAGCTGCCAGATGTGTAATTTTTCACATCAGGTAGTTGATTGCATCATTGTAGCCCTTGAGATTAAAGCCTGATTTGGAAAAATTCACCATATAATAGAAGCATGAAAACTGCAGCATCTCCAGCCGCTGATGGTGATTTTGCTTTTACTCACAAGATAACCTAACCTCCCTGGAAAGACACCACAGCGACTTTTCCTGGCCCCATTTTGTCCCTTCCTTCCCTCCCATGCCCCAAACTTCTACCTCTGGCTGTGCTTCCCCAAATTGCTGGGGGGGGGTAGTTTGGGCGTGAGAGTGGAAGTGTGGAAGGAGGAGGTGGTGTTTTCTTTACCTTCTGCCCGTGCTTGTGTGTGGGGTGCAGGTGAGGCTTCTGAACATTGATCACATTCAGTTTTTGCTAAAACATAGAATCCCAAATACTGACATTTCTTTTTGCAATTCATTAAGCAAACCTTAGTCACTATAGTTTTCTTGAACTGTAGCATAAACTAAACACGATAGTTACCTACACGGGGAAAAAGTTATAAAATTCATAAGGCTGTCTATAGTTACACGTGTGGTGGTCTGGAAGCCCGCGGGGGCAGTTTTCCTAGCGTAAGCCCACTGGGTTGTAACAGGAAGCGGAATTGTGCACAGGGACCCACGCACAGCTACACCCTCTGCGTAGAGTTGTCAGCAGTGAGCTTCCTCCTCTTGTAAGCTGACATCTACAGGTGGAGCATCCCTTGTCTGAAAATCTGAATCAGAAAGGAGCCAAAACCTGAAAGTTTTCGCGTGACCTGACCCTGCAGGTGGGCATTTCTGCACCTGACCTCAGGTGCTAGACAGGCCGCAGTCACAGTGCAAGTGCACTGAGAAAAGGGTTGAATATTTAAGGTGTATGGGTAAATGGATTTTGTGTTTCGATTTAGAATTTCTTGATGAGACCAAGATCTTTCATTGGGTATATCTTAGTACTCCAGAATACAAGAAAATCGGGAATTTCACGTAGCAGGCCAGAGATGTTCTTCCTTGTCCTATCTGAGATATGTACAAGGGTTGTAAAACCCAGTGGCCATGTAGACAGCCCTGAGTTTTCCATAGTGTTTAGTTTCAAGGCATTTTTCTCCTCCTCTTTTCTGCCCTCTCAGCCTCTCCTCCTTGTCCATTAATATGTCCATTGTGATCGATTGTGTTAATATGTGCAGTGTGTTTCAAAAACACGTTCCAAAGCTACTCCTCTCCTGAATTTTCAACAAGCTGAATTTTCCAGTTTCCCAGGGTACATGGGTGGTGACATCAGCTCCCACCCATAGCTCTGCAGGTCCGTGTGTTTAAGCCTTCATTTCCAGTAGTATTGGATTCGCCCTCCCTTGTGTCCCCCAAGTGCAGACCAGGGATTGGCAGACAGAGGCCTGTAGACCACAGCCAACCTGCTGCCAGTTTTGTGTGGCTTCCAAGTTGCTAATAGTGCTGATGTTTTTAAATGATGAAAAAGAATAATAGACACATTTTGGGACATGTGCAATTCAAGTTTCTGTGTTGTTCGTAAATAGTTTTACAAGCACACAGCAGCGCTCACAGGTTTAGACACCGCCTGCGGCAGATCAGGCTGCTGAGCAGAGCCGAGGGATTGGGACAGAGGTTGGTCATCAGATTTCCTGGCTCCTCCCTAGTGAATTCTGTGACTTCTGTCTCGCATCATATTGGCATCAGCAAAACATTGCTGTCTGGGGCTCTTGTATAGTTTTCTGAATCCACATGAAGTCATTAATATACAAGCATTCTTTTATATTTTCTTTGGTTTTTCCAAACACTGGGTTATTAGAATCAAAGAAAATAAAAAAGATTAGGAATTTTCTCTTCCTCTTAGGTTTGCGTGTGCTGAAAAAGCATTGCAGTTGTCACTCTTGTTTAGTACCCAGGCTTTGTGGCCCTAGTGTGATCCTAGTAAGTAAAGAACCCATCAGATTCGCTTTAAAAATGGTGACGGAGACTAAAGTTTTCACCGAAGTTTTAGCTTTTTACCTTTCCCATGCCCTTTTTGAAGTCATTGTTCCTGTGTTTTATATCGAATGCTGCTGAACTTGTTTCCTAAAAATTTAAACCTGCTGTGGAGCTTTGTAACTGAACTGGTAGCTGCTCTCAGGCAGTGATGCTAGCTCTGAAAGGCATATTTAAGATGCATAAGTACCGAATGCCATTTAAGTATTTGTGTTTAAAGTCAAGATCTGTGTAACAGGAGATTAGACTTTTGTAGCTAGAGCTGAACTATATTAGTTTTCCAGTTGTGAAACTTCTAAGCCAGCCAACCCGTGTCCCTCCCTCCCTCCCCAGGGCCTTCACACTGAGCTGCATCTTAAACCTTTTTTTTTTTCTTTTTTAATTTCTTACTTTAATTGTCCAAGCTGGGCTTGAATTTGTAGTCCTCCTGCCTCAGCTTTCCAAAGTGCTAGGATTATAGGGGAGCACTACCACGCTGGCTCTAGTCTGTTTTTTATTGCCAAGTTCCAAGTTAACTTCAGTTGATTTTCTCCATTAGCAGTGGGGAAGACTTGTAAGCTTCATCGCAAAGGCTCCTACCCTGAGCACAGAAATCCACATTGAGGATCGCTTTGTGAGCACTGCTGCATTTCCGCGCTGGATGCTACAGCAGGCTGCGTGGGGTCCCTTGGCTTATGCATTGTCTCCGAGGTGACCTACAGTGTGAAAATGCGTGTCTACTTTGACAACGGCTGATGCAGCTATATTTTGTTACTTGTAGTATTTGCTCCTCACCTGTCCCATTCTATAGAATTGATGTTTAAAAAGTTCCATAGCTTATATATAAAAAAGGCAAACCTGGTCCATAAAACGGAAACTGAATTAAATAATAAACTTGTCCATTGTCTTAAAAATGTAAAGGTCGCTTGTAGCATAGCTGTTTCACACTGACAGAGGTGATATTTATGTGCCACATTGCTCTTTTATGGTGTCTGATCTCTAAAAACACTGCCGTGAAGTGAATTTGGGTCCTGATGCGGGCAAAGAGAAGTCTCTCAGTCCCTACGCTGGTTGCGTGGCTGCAGGTCTGGGAAGCTCACGCTGCTTTCCCAGGCATGGGAAGTTGCTCATCTTCAGGGCCCTACTGTGACCAAGGACTGAGTCATGTCCCGGGTGCTCAGTGACAGGCAGTAAGACAAGTGCCAGCCGGACAGACCGGCCCTGCACACGCGTGGCGTGAGGATGGCGATGACCCAGGAAATGGAAGAATGACCACGTGGAGGCTTAGCTCAGCTGCACATTTGGGAAACATGGTAGATGACAGCACAGTAGCTGGAGTTTTCCCTTCATCTGCGTGTGTCAGGCTTTCCTTGTGATTGGGAAGGCTTCCCTGGTTATTCACGCTTCAGGGCTCACACTGGATTTAGAGAGTAATGAAGAGAGAGAGACTCTGAGCGTGAAAAGATTTTTTTCCACCTTAAATTTCAGCATGTATCCAGAGAGAAACATTTCTGGCACAGAATATCCAGACAGTTGTCTAATTATCTCATTCATTCTTCAATCAGTCAACGCTCTGCAAATATTTATTAAACACCTGCTATGTGCCAGGCATTGTTATAGATGCTTGGAATTCCTTGCTGGTGAAACAAATAAGATGCCTTCCCTGGGGCACCTCTAGCCTCACTCAGTCTGATTTGATTGTTCCTGGATGGGTAAAAGATCATGCGGTGTAAACTGTGTTGGCCTTCTTTTATTAATGAGGTGGTGAATATTTAAAAGGTAATCCAATATGCAGTTCCTCAGACTTTGCAAACAAAAGCATCAGATTTA